AGAGTAAAAGAAAAGAGAGGCGATGTCTACCCACCTTTGTACTTTTAACACTTGTACTTCTTAACCCTGGAGAACCAATGGGGTCAGATCCGATCCCATTGGTTTACTAGGGAAACGATGGGGTCAAATTTGACCCCATGGGTTCTCCAGGGTTAAATTATCTCCTGGATTTTACAAAGAGGCAATAAAGGGAAGCTAATACGAGAGAAATACATGTGTTTTACTGTCACAGTCAATCTTTCACTCTCGTTCCTCCACATCCCTGTCTTCACGAGCTCATGGCGCCCTCTAGTGCTAACAAGAAAGCTTGATGCTTGTTGAAATAACTACTAAAGACCTAAATTTAGTATGTACCTCGCTGAAAACACAGGTAATTTACAAGACACCCAAACTGCCACACCTCTGTGTTTTATTCTTTTATAATCAATCATTCACTCACCCACCGTGCTCCACCTTAGTCATTGTGAGCACATGAAAACCTCTGTACTTAGAACTAAACTTGAGTCATGTTACAATAAAAAATTAAAGAGGACCTTACGTATTTTAAATCTGCCTTCATCTCTTGTTTATGGAGGTCAAAGATGAAAAATAAAACCTATATATAATGTTCAAAAACAAGTAAAACAGCAGCTTGTGTCAGCGGGTTTTGGATTTAGTCCATGGTTACATAAATCTCTGTTTGGGACAATGCAGTAATAATTGCACAGGTCTTTTTATTTTTATTTTTTTTCCTAATCTGCTTTGTTCTGATTAATGCCTTTTGTGTATGTTTCTCCACACGCAACCCTTTGCGTGTCTGCAGTATTGTTTCCACCAACAGGAAGGAGCAGGTAATTATAAGCAGATTAGGAAGTGGTAACAATGACTTGAATGCTATTCTTCTTCATATAGGAAAACATCCCACTGGGTATTGTCATCATCAGTGCCCAGAAAAGAAAAGACATCAGGGCTCATGATGACATTAATAAGGGAATAATAAAAGGAAAGAAAAAAGACCTATGGGTGCATGGCTGCAAGGGTTAGGATATATGTTGTGTGACAGCAGAGATGAAGATGAGGACTTTGTGTGGTACAGGCAGCCTGGAAACCGTAGCAGCAACATAAGCGTCTTGTCATACTGTATTTCAAAAATAACCAGCCGTTATCAGCATCCTGTACCCTAACATTGGTGATCAGGATAAGCGGTCACACATAGCTGGTTACCAACTCACTTGGTCAACTGAGCAAGTTGTGGGGGAAATGATTATTCGATCCCTTGCAGAATTAGTTTGCTCGTTTACAAAGAAATGTCTCTAAAGAAACAGTCTCTAATCTTCACGGTAGTTTTAATGGAGAGACACAAAAGATAAACCAGAAAATATAAAACACACACACACACACACACACACATTACATAAAAGGTATGTACCTGTACTTTTACAGTATTTGGTGAGGAAGAAACACTTTTTGGCTAGTAAAGCGGTAAGACGTTTCTTATAGTTGGTCACCAGGTTGGCAACCAGATCAGGAGGGATTTTGGCCCTTCTCTCTAAATCCTTGTGGTTTCTTAGCTGCCACTTGGCAACTGGAAGCTTCAGCTCCTTCCACAGATGTTCAATAGGAAAATTGGACCTTTGGTGTGGTGGAGCTGTCTTGTACTTTTAGCAGAAAAGGAGCCCGAAAGCATGACGTTTTCACCTCCATGCTTGACTGTGGGAATAGTGTTCGGGTTGGGTTGATGCCAGACAGCATGATTTTAGTTTCTTTTGACCACAGTACTTTCTCCCAAGTCTTCTCTGCTTCATTTAGATGTTCACTGGCAACTAGATGGGCTTTAACATTTGCCTTATCGAGCATGGGGACCTTGGTGGTGCTGCAAGACGTCAATGCACTGCAGCATAGTGTGTTATCAAAGGTCTTCTTAGTGATGGTGGTCCCAACTGCCTTCAGAGCCTCCTGTATAGTTTTAGACTGATCTACTACTTTCCTCATGATTATCTTCATCCTATGAGGGAAGATCTTTCATGAGTACTAGACCGAGGGTGACCAATGATTATTTTATATTTCTTCCATTTCCAAATATTTGCAACAATTTTCCCTTTCTCTCTAAGCTTCTTGCTGATGGTTTAGAGCTCAGTCAAGCCTTGTGCAGGCCTCCAATCTGTCCCTTACATCCTTTGGCAGCTCTTTGGTTTTGCCCATGGTGGTGGAGAGATGCTTTTTTCTGGATTATAAATTGATATTATCCCTCTTTCTATTAAAAATGAAACTAGCAAAACATGAGAAAAATGAGAGAATTTTCATTTCTTTGGCAATGAGCAAACTTACAATTTCAGCAGGGGATCACATTTCCCCCACTGTAGGTGTGAGCACGTTCACATGAAAGGGGTGATTTGGCAATCACACTGATTATTACATTAACAGAGAATCAAAATAACACAGCTACTAAATCAGCGACATGAGAGAAAAAAAACTGTACTGTTTCGTGTTAAAAGTGCTAGTAAGTAAGTAAAATTTATTTATATAGCACTTTTCACAGATAAAAATCACAAAGTGCTTTACAACACAGGAAATGGGAACATAAAAACAATATAACAGTAAATAAAGTGTATTGCTGTATGAATTTGTGAGTGCTTTCAGTGTTTTGGACAGTAAGACGGGAAAAGAGCTACATATTGATAAAGTGTAGCTGACTTCAAGGCAGGAAGAAAAGCTGGGAAAAATGCCAATTGTGCGAGTTAACAAATTTATCAGTATCACAACTTTATCATTTAGGAATTGTGACATTGATCAAGACTTCAGTCGGTGGAGAGTTCATACCTGTTCATCTCTAATCTGGCGTTGTGCCAGAAAGTGTTTTTTACATGTAAGATGTTTGCTTGTATTGGTAATGCATAATGGACCTTCCATGTGTACGGACATGTACAGGTATATATGTCTGTATATGTATACATATGTATATTTAGTGTGTACGTGTGTGTGTGTGTACACATGTCTATAAATAGGAATAGTAGTGGTACAATAGCTATATCAAGCTATATAGTTTATGTCTTCCATATTTCCAATTATATCCATAATCACATACTGTGTATGCTACCATTGTATATAGTGCATTATCTTACTTTTTTTCATTGATTGTACTTATTTGTATTTCCTTCTGATATCTGTACCTGAGCTGAGGTGATGCAAAAATTTCCCCGTTGTGGGATCAATAAAGTCTTATCTTATCTTATCTTATCTTATCTTATCTTATCTTATCTTATCTTATCTTATCTTAAACAGACTGTAGTCAACAGGATTTACAAAGGGATTATATTTTAAATAAAGAAATTACCTGTTTTAGCATTTCTCCTGTGCTTACAACACCATCCAGCCACGACTTCTGAGGGACAAGCTGGAGCTATTGGGAGTGGACCAGCACATGTCCCAGCGGATACTGGACTATCTCACAGAACGCCCACAGTATGTGAGGACACAGGGTTGTGTCTCTGATACGCTGGTCTGCTCTTCAACCTCTACACTGCAGACTACTCCATCAGCTCCCCACGCTGCCACCTACAGAAGTTCTCTGATGAGTCTGCCATAGTCGGCCTCATCACAGGTGAGGACGACTCAGAGTACAGACAGTGGACTCTGGACTTTGTGGACTGGTGTCAGCAGAACCACCTGCTGATCAATGCTGGGAAAACCAAGGAGTTGGTGGTGGACTTCCAGAGACGCAGACCCACCATACTGACACCAGTGAACATCCAGGGAGTGGACATTGAGATGAGATAGTGGGCTCGTGTAGGTACCTGGGTGTTCACCTGAATAATAAACTGGACTGGAGCCACAACACCGATGCTCTTTACAGAAAGAGTCAGAGCAGACTCTACCTGCTGAGGCGGCTGAGGTCATTTGGAGTCCAGGGAGCGCTTTTAAAGACTTTCTATGACTCTGTGGTGGCATCTGTCATTTTTTACAGTGTGGTATGTTGGAGCAGCAGTTTATCGGCAGCTGAGAGGAAGAGGTTGGATAAACTCATCAGGAAGGCCAGCTCTGTTCTGGGATGCACCCTGGAGCCAGTGCAGGTGGTGGGAGACAGAAGAACTCTGGCCAAAATAACATCTCTGATGGACAGAGTCTCCCACCCCATGCATGTAAATGTTGCTGAACTGCAGAGCTCCGTCAGAGACAGACTGCTGCATCCTAGATGCATGAAGGAGCGTTTCCACAGGTCCTTCCTCCCTGCAGCTGTCAGACTGTACAATCAAAACGTTCCCAACAAACACAGATGTTTACATCAGTGCTGTAACTTGCACTATTTTATCAACAGATTCACACTACAACCTGGGTTTGCCTCTTATCTTTATTTAATTTAATTTAATTTTATTTAATAACGGTACAGTACTCTGTTTTTGGTAACCATTGCCTCTCATGTAAATATGTAAAAATTGTGTACGTTTCTGTTCTGTGTCTTGTGCACTGTTTGTTTGTATATGTGTATATTCTTGTATATTCTTGCTGCTGTTACATCCAAATTTCCCCTTGTGGGACAATTAAAGGATTATTCTCTTCTATTGTAGTCTATTTAAAAACATGACTTATTATTGGCATTATTGTACCTACATTATAACCAATCAAGTCCTTTTTGGTCACTTAAAATATCTTTATAGAACTATAATGCTAATTTGTTGCCTATTCTGATACAGCCCCCTCAAAGACATTTTGAATGTCAACAAGACTCTTTAATGGTCATATAAAATTAACCTTACCAAAAACTAATTTCATTTTCTACCTTGTAGCAAGAATGTTGTTTGTGGCTCAAGATGACTTAATAGCGATCACAAGGGAAACATTTGGCACATGCTTCACATGTTATAGGCCAACAAGTCAATTACAGCAATTAAAGTACGAGTCATCACTTTTTTGGCGAATACCAGAAAGAACTTTTTGGCAGACGATCACTTAAGGTTCAGAATGAGTTACCATGGCGATGTAACCCGGTAACTGATTGACCTTTTTAGTACAGGGAACCCAGGGTTCATCCTGGAGCTACTTAACAAATAGAATGGGTTAGGCAGGCAGGTGGAGGCAGGAATTGGCATCATGCCACTCCTGTCTCTTTGGCAGGCAGGAGTTACATAATAAATGAACGAATAAATGAATAATTTTTTTTCCAATGCCAGGGTCGAAAAGGGGGATCTTTCTTTCTTTCTTCTAGAGCCTCCATCCAAAAAAGACGTTGGGGTACCATCTCCAGGACACTAGAGGTCAGTCTAACTTTTGTTTTATGTTATATTTTTTTCTTCGAATAGGTTTTAGGAGACTTGCGTGTGCGTGCAAACATGTCGCCGTTCAAGAGAAAACGTGCCGGCCAGGATTCCGTTGATTTCAAGCCGAAAAAAGGAAAACTGGTACCAGATGAAGGCAAAGGCCTAGAGGAAGTGGGAAGAGAGAAGGAACATGAGATCACGGTGCCAGCACCGATCTCTCAGGTCAGAGTTATAGCGTGTTATTGTCCACTGAACTATTTTAGCTGGTGAGCCAACTTCAGTTTACCAACTACGCGCTACTTTACTTACTTATCTATAACCTACTCAGTGTGTAGCATCAGATAGAGGAATTCGTTATATCCAAACATTCCCAATCTGATATCGACACAGATATGAACCAAACTGCCTTCTTAAACGTACAGTCGGTATTTAAGGCTAATTAATAGTAAAAAGAAAGAATGTTGTGCTCAAAAATATGATAGTGTGTTATTACGTTCCTTCCAACAAATTGATACGTTTTAATAAACGCATCGTTAACCCATTAAAAATACATAAATGGCTCGTGATTTTTTGTGGCGGCGGCCATGTTCCCCCAGCTTATTTAAATACCGTGGCCGGGAAGGACATTTCCACCTAGTCGCATTTTACATGTGAGGCTGAAGCTTGGCTACATGTGTAAAACACCAAAGGAAGAGAACTCGTAGAACTCGAACTATGAGGCTAATTTAAATTCGTGCCTTCGTCTTCAGACTCAAGACTTGAAGGATTATGCTTGTGTTTTATAGTTGTGGAGAAGGGGTCCCCCTCATCAAAGAAACAAAAATGCAAAGGAAAAGAGAGAAGCTCGCCAGCATTTTAAGAAAACGTCATCCTCGTTATCCTCACCTCAAGCCAGTGCTTTTGTACATGGAAACAACATGCAAATTGTTCCTGATGTTGTTGCTGTTACTCATAGTCACTGGCTAAACAACAACAGCACTTGGCTATAAAGTAGACTCAGTGTCCCAAAAAGGTTTTGCTGTAATAAGTAGTTTGCTTACATCGGAGGGGTTATTCACAAAGCATCAAAACAGCAGCTTTTACCAACAGAAAGGTTCAGCATATCCTCAATAACTCACCTCAGTATGGAGGTCAAAGGTCACTGACCTGTACTACTTCCACAAAGTTTGACGGTCTCTTCCAGATTGAATAAATGTGGATCCCTCTTACCTAGAATTGACAGCTGAGGTAAACAATGGACCAACAGCCTTCCGCAGACAGGGAAAAACTCCCGGGCAGACCCATATCTGTTCTGAACCGTAGTAGAAGAACGCTGTTTCTTTGTTTTGTTGCATCTTAAGACTGAAATTGCAAACTGGTATTTGTTTTAGTTCAATGTTCTGAGCTAAACTGTTTTTTAACAGGGCAAATGGACCAACAAGGAAAGAGTTCTGATTTTCTCCTCCAGAGGGATCAACTTCAGAACCAGACACCTGATGCAGGACCTGAGGACCATGATGCCTCATGCAAAGGCAGGTTAGTGTCATATAGCACTGACCTACAGCATTGCTTCACACAAACACCTGTGTTATCTGTCTTACCTTACTAACCCACAAATCTTGTGCCTAGACACAAAAATGGACAGAAAGGATAAGCTGTTTGTCATAAACGAGGTAAGTTTGCTGTTTAACATCTTAGTTTACTCTTACATAACATATATAAAGCATCCAGGAGAATAAAGTCATTTGTTTGGCAGGTTTGTGAGATCAAAAACTGCAACAAGTGCCTCTATTTTGAGGCCAAGAAGAAGCAGGACCTCTACATGTGGTGAGAATTTCATTGGTATTACATCTCGTGTACATCAGACTCGTAGGAGAGCCAATCTGAACTAAGTTCAGTCATGTTCTTGTCCTGTAGGATTTCAAACAGCCCCCATGGCCCTTCTGCAAAGTTCCTAGTCCAGAACAGTAAGTTATTTCGCCACTAAAGCCCTCAAATGCAGCAATCATTTGTTATACTTTGGGAAAAATAATTGCATTGCCCCTCCTCTTTGACAGTTCACACACTGGCCGAACTCAAACTGACAGGAAACTGCCTCAAAGGATCCAGGCCGCTGCTCTCGTTTGATCCTGTGAGTAGAATTGGGTCATAAAGCCGGGAGTAATAAATTAGACTTGCTGTTAGTTTATAATCAGTATGTCTTTATTCCGAATTTGTTGCACTATGAGTCTCATCAACATCACATCAGATATTTATGGTTTAGTGTAGTCAAGGAAATAGGAATGGGAATTGGTAAGAATTTAGCGATTCCAAGATCAATATCATTTATCGATTCGATTACTTATCGATTGTCATTGGGTCCGTTTTGAAAGTCACCACAGTTGCTAAGAAGCAATATAGAAATTACCTTCATGCAAATTAACTGCATGCTGTGGGTTAAATGTTTGTGTTTGTTACACAGAACATGTTAGACATATTACACAGAACACGTTACTTAATTACTCCCTGAAAAAATAATTCCTTACAGTACTCGTTACATTACTTTCATGTTACTCTATAACTTAGCTGAAACACACTATTTAACAATATAAACCTGAGGCTACAACCCCACACAATGAGAACACTAAGATCTTTCTCTTGGAGAATACAAAGCAGACCACACAAGTGCTGAAGTTGTGTTAGCAGCATAATGCAGTTTTTTCTGTCCAGTTTTCCACTTAACCATTTATCTCAGTCTTTTGTGCAATAAAAGTAAGTGTCCATATCCACGCTCCAGACTGCGTCGCCATTTTCCTCCTCGGACAGGTGAACCGTGCAGGAACCAATAAGAGCGATCGATAGAAAGGCAGAATAACAATTCCAAGGAATCGGTTTTCTACATAAACTGGTTCTCAATTCCCATCCCTAGAAATAGCGTCACAAAACTCTGCACAATGTCTTCGCTCTGATATAAAATTCTCGGTCTGTGATCTGAATAGTGAAAGTTTTTTTGTGTTAAGTTGAATTTAAGAAAAAACGCCTGAGCAAGAGCTGAAGTTTTTATTTTTACTCTTTATTTTCTTCAACAGAAATTCGATAAGGAGCCTCACTACGCTTTACTGAAAGAGCTCTTCATCCAGGTGCGTTTCCAGGACAGCGTGAATGTAAACTGATTGCAGTTTTTGACACTTTCAGTCTAAAGTCCGATTACATATCATGTTTTTACTGTAAGAACGGAGCAGATGTGATTTTTTTTTTTTTTTTTTTTTTTAATTTTTCTTGAAGAGTTGAACAAATTGTATTTTCTGACTGAACTCATTCATTTTTTCTGTTGTAGACCTTTTCCACCCCACGCTACCATCCTAAGAGTCAGCCTTTTGTGGACCATGTTTTCACCTTTACCATTGCAGACAACAGGATTTGGTTTCGAAACTATCAGGTACTCTTCCGCCATACTTTTCTAAATTTCATTTGATATTTTGTCCCTGGCTTGAGCAGATTCCGAATGAAATATTTCTTATTTTCCTCTGGCTGTGTTCAGATCATTGAGGAAGATGGCTCTCTAGTGGAGATTGGGCCTCGCTTTGTTCTTAACCTCATGAAGATCTTTCAGGGGAGCTTTGGGGGGCCTACGCTCTATGAAAACCCAGACTTCCGTTCTCCTAACATGGTAAAAATCCATTGCACGATAGCTGAAGTTACAATTACTGTTCCTGATATACTAATGTTCTTACATCGAACATCTCTCTGTATGCTCCTGCAGCACCGGAGAGAGATGCGACTGGCAGCGGCAGCCAAAGTGCGAGAGAAGCAGATGGTAAAGGAGATGCAGAAAGGAAAGAAGACGTCTGCGAAGGAGGACCTGGAAAGTGACGTTACAGCCGATGTCTTCCTGACACCGGCTGAGGAAAAGCCCGCTGACATTCAGAGGGAAGCGCCTGAGACGAAAGTGGTGAAGAAAAAACAAAAAGCTTTCAAAAGACAAAGGATGCAGATGGCACGCAGGTAACTGGATGGACTGCAATAAGCTGAGTGAATGCTGCTGCCATTATTCAGTAAAAATATGGGAATGTCACCACACAGTCAGGACTCAAGTACAGTATTAGAAACAGTCCTTGGGAAAATATGCATCATGTTTTGTTGCCCCAGTTTATGAACTCCTTTCTTCTTTTTCTGATAAACAAGTTTTTCTTGATGTAATGTTTATTGAGTTGGAGTAAAAACTCTTTTCTATGTCATAGAAATAAAATACCAACTTGATCTCTGTATCCTGTGATGTATACTCCATAAAAGGCTTTTGGAATAGTGTCAGCATAGACTTGGAGGAAGTGTGTCCACAGCTTAAGAGAAATCACACCTATTCAAAATAGGTAGAATAGGTGTTGTTTTAGATCACTGTCTAGTTGTTTTAGATCAGTGAGCTGGGTCTAATGTGTCCTGTTTTACAGGCTGTCAGCCATCTGGAAGCATATGTCAAAAGACGAGCTCTGATATGCAAATATAAAGAGAGCTGCATTTAACAAGTAGACTCAAATTCAGGAGTAACATTCACAAATTGTGAGACTTATGACTGAAAACAGCTGAGTCACCATAGTAATCAATAGAGTACTTGAACACACATCGAACATGTCTCTGTATACTCCTGCAGCACATCGAGCTACGATTATGACGTGTGGTGTAATCATAGAGAGCATAAGAACATCTCTCAAATCTGGCAAATGATGAATCAGTTCATTTTCTGTTTACTCCACTGTGCCCATTACAAGTCCGGCATTTTCTCCATACCTGCCTCCTCTGGCAAACTGGACTCTGGTGTGTAGTTAAGGTGCTTATTACAAGTCACATTTGAATCTGGTGTTCTCAGTTCTCTTCCACCTCCTCATCGGGACAGCAGTAATATTCTACGAAGCAGATCTGTCCGTCGTCGTTCCTGACCAGGTACTGCAGAGAGAGGAAGCCCCGGTTGTCTGTCCTGACGGAGACTTTACAGGACAAAGCCAAGGCTTTGGTGGACGGCTTCAGGAGGGACATCTTGTATCTGTTTGCAGACAGAATACAAACAAAACATTACACGGGGATACGCTGAAACTATGCCTAAACTATTTCTCTTGCAGAGATTTTTAACATGATACGATAGAAAGGCCAAGAAAACACTTAACACTGGATCCAGGAGTGCTGACTCATTAGTGTCAGCATATCCAGTTGCAGTTGTAAATGTCATTATTTTTCTGTGCTTTTTATTCAGTTACAAGTCAAATGTATCCAGTTAACAAGCTCTATTACATAAGTTATAACAAGTCTGCTTTTAAGGAGATGTAAAGGGGACGAAGAGTCACCGGGGAAATGATTATAATCCTAAACACCTGCATGCAGGTGCTGCAACGTCCTGTGGCCAGACCTCTGGTTAGGAGCCATGCTGGCAATTACAGTTTGCACACAAGTATACAACACAAGGTCAAACCATGGGAGTCTACTTGAGTGAAGTATTTCCAATTCCAGGAATTTCTAGAGCGCCTACAAGGTGAGTGTATACCTATCCGAGCTCATACTTAGGTTAAGGACACTGGCACTAGTTATTAGTGTGTGCACACAAGTGAGTGTCAATATTTTCAAAGCTTAGTTTGTTAATAATTAAAAAAATATTATCACTGCCCTTTGGTTATTATTAGTTTCCCAAAACATAAGCCACAAAATGCTCAGAATTACAATCAAATAAAACAAACTAGATTTAAAGAAAATAAAATGCTAAACAACAGTTTAATACAAATATATTCCAGCATTTCTTATGTTTCATTAAAAATGACTTCTACCATTGCTGGAGGTCATCATTTACAGTCTAGTTTGTTGGCATTACCCGACTGATGCTGGAGAATCTGATCAACTTTGTTGTCCATGGGTATATTTGACACGGTGACTGAACAGATATACTAATTTTATGACTCTCAAAGGAAAGATGTGTATATTTGGTTATAACTTTTTAATATTTGGATTTATTCATGTCAACATCTTCAACTTTTTCACATTATGATCAGAGTTACCTGCCTGGCAACCATGTGTGAACAGGCATGTAAAAGGGTCAAGACTGAAAATGAGAGTAAAGTCAGTCACAGACAGTCGTGACTGACTTTACAGCGAGATAAAGATCACACATTTTCTGCTATGTCATTCTCTACTGTGTATGACATTTGGTTTTAGTTGCTGTGTTGGTGCTTCCTGTCCTCCCAGTCCACCTATGGCTAGTTTGTGTTCTCTACAGTCTAAATAATCTGCGCATGTGTTCGTGTGCTAACCTGTTCGTTTGTGTCTCGGTGCACTTAAACAGCTCCATCATGTCCGAGTCTTTGGAGTAATCATAATGAGCATTTCCAGCATTCCCAAATGTTGACAACCTTAGAAAATCAACAAATCAAATAATAATAATATAAATGAAAGGTAAAAAGAGCAGCACTTTCAAAAATAATGCAGAGGGGGCAAAGTTAGACTGCAAACTACCTCAGCACACTGATAATGAATTTACAGTCATTTTAAACACGGTGATTTTTTTTTTTAAGTCAGCAACGTAATCATAAACCAGCACGACACTGTAGAAAAAGTACAGTAAGGACAGCACACCTGAAGTATGGTTGGCTGGGGGACATGGTAATCTGTAGCACTTCACTAGTCATGTCCAGTTCAGAGAAGGCTTCCTTCAAACTCTCTGACTGCAAGATCACCTACAAAAGAGCCAGGGATACATCAGTTGTTACTGAGTTGTGTTTCCTGTTTTTCTAACACCTGCAAATAATGTTATGCCCATTGGATTTGTAAAGTAAGGAAACCAGAGAAACTGTAATTTCTGAATGGATTCGTTTGCATTGGTTTATTGTTTCCCATCTGATTTTTTTTTTGTATATTTAATATATTTAATATTCCAGTTTTAATAACAGAAAAAGTGAAATTAACCTTGTTCGTGACATTAGTGCTGCAGAACTCAAAGTCAATCGGTTCTTCTGGTTCTTGCGTGTTAATCTTGCACACGGTCACTACACCACCTTCCTCCAGGAACAACGTCAGAGGGTACCCATACCCCTTGTAGCACATCCGCAAGGCTGTTGATACACCTGCAGCATCACAAAAAACAGATAAAAAGCATGTTGAGTCCCATCTCAGGTGGAGTTTTTTTTTAATTCGTTTATTTTTATGAATTTTACCTGGTGTTGTGGTTCCACCAAATATATTGAGGCAATCAAGGAGAACAGTGAGGTTGATCTGAAAAGCCACCAGATCTTCTCTTATGGTGAACTCTTGGAAGATCTCAGCCTGGGAGACATGAATACAACTTCACTAAGGTATCAGTATTATAGGATTAAACACAAAGTAAACATACCTGCTCATTTAAGTATGTTCACTGACAAAATACAAGAGAAACACACCTGGATGAAGGCATTGGCCTGCAGACATTTCGAGTCCTCCACTGTGACCTTAAGGCCGTTGGTTGTAGCTGTGAAGATGGCGTGATCTTTGAAGGTGATTGCTTTCAGGATGTTGGAGAGATTACGAGCATTGTCCAAATTCGCCACTAAAACGTACTGTTCGTCATCACCTTGCGACTGAGTGGAGAGAGGCATTTTAGCGCTGAAAAAAGGCGCACAGATACCCGCTGTGAGGTCCCTGTAAAGGTAAACACATCAAATTAGCCGCTCCAATCATACATCACATGCGCATGAAGGTAAAACTTTGTTGAATGGCGTATCTTTTATATTCTAAATCGGACAGAATGTAAATGCGCCAAAGTGATTTGTGTCGATTCTACAACACACACACACACACACACCGAACTGTCACTTTGCTTTTACTGAAGTACTAAGCTTGTAAGCTTCTTTTTTTTTTTTTTACTGTGGCTCGCTTGGAGTTTAAAACGACGTAAAACACAAATTAACGGTAATATAATTTACATTTGTACTATCTAGATTCTCCTATACATTAATGTATTTAAAATATTCCCCCCAGAAAAACTGTAACTACCTTCGTGTCTCTTATAAAGCTGTTACGCAGCAGTTCTTGTGATTGTTTTTGAAGAAAGGCGCCCGGTGATGAACAACTTCCGCCTTCGCTCTTCTTCTACGGAAGTTGGATTAAAGTACGTCTTACGTCAGCAACATTCCAGATATTTCGCCATAAAACATACTCTGCCCATCGGTAGTGCGTGACAACATCATTTTGTGATTGGGAGAGGTGAGAGTCTTTATTCTGTCTTCCTCGTGTAACAGTTCAAATCTTTTTATTTTCCTGTCTGAACTTTGGTGACAGTTTTTCATAATAAGCTACCGGGTGTGATATGACGCTAGCTTTAGCTCACTGTTTTATTTGAGCTTAGAGAGCATGAAACCAATAGTGTGTCAACTGTGTCAAGTTAAAAAATGATCGAAAAACAATTTACAGCACACAACAACAGAAATCATGAACAGAGTAATTTGTGTAGTCGTGTGAAAGAAAGCTTCCTTCCACCGTTAACTAAGGTAGCTCAGGTTAGCTTTGTAAACGTCAGTATGGCTGACAGGTCGCTCGGTGTGGAGCACCCAAGCTGCCAGAATAAATAAAACAAACAAAATAATAAACGTTTCAGTACAGTCATTTTTAATGTATATACACCAGAAGAGTTTAAAATAAACGTAGGCAGTAATTCTTGTAAATATGCCATAATTTTCTTTTTTAAATTTGTGTAACCTATTTATAAAGAAAGATTCTGTTACTTTTCAAATTATGTACACATTTCTGTCATTTCAACCAATATATTTTTTGCTTTATTTTCGTGTTTTAAAGTGCATGTTGGATTGTTTTTGGGGTTTTTTTTTGTGGGGGGGGGGTGTCGTTTTTGTTTGTTTGTTTGTTTATTTTTGTTTTTTAACTATTGTATAAATGTTAATAAATTAATGAAATGTTATTAAATCATTCTACAGGAACCTTGTAGCAATATCTCAACAACCAACCATAAACTTACTATGTATTTTTTTTTTTACAACTCACAATTTTTTTTCTCTGTTGCAGGTTTTTCCATTTGTACCAGCTATGGTGTGCATTCCCTGTATTGTGATTCCTGTCCTCTTGTGGGTCTACAAGAGGTTCCTGGAGCCTTATCTCTATCCTTTTATTTCACCCATTATTAATATATTCTGGAGCAAAAAGGCAGTGCAGGAGACCAGTGCTAATGACCAAAAAGTTAGTGAAAAGAGTAATGGGACTTGCAAGGTAAGTAAATGGATAATTTTTGTGATGTTTTCATTAAGAAACTTAAAAATAATTATGGAAATATTTCCCAGCTCTGGTATATAGAGCGAATATATCTAAAAATGATAATAAAACTAATAGGAGCCACTCAAAGGGTCTCTGTGTTGTGTCATTTTTAACGTATAAGTTTCATAGTTATTTGATTTGAAGTTTTAAAAAAAAAATTTCACTCATGTTTTTCAGCCTGAAAGCAACGGCGAGGCCACTGCTAATGGATCTACAATAGCAACGGATAAGAAGACAGACTGACGCCTCAAAATATATTCAATGCTTCAGAAACAATGTAAATATTTAATTCTTCTAGAGAAACTATAAATTAACTTATAAATCACCTTAGAATTAATTGGATTTTATAACCTTCCAATTGTTATTTGGAGCTTGTTTTTATTTTTGTCATCCATCTTGTTGATATATTGTCTGTTAATCATTAATTGATACAGCTGTTTATTGTATTGAATGACAGATTTTGTAAGTTAAACTTTAAGCATAAATAATGAATAAAATAAACAAGACCTCTTAAGTGCTTCTGCTGCTTTTTCTTCATTTTGAATAATGTGTTCTCTTCATATTTGAGTTGTTAAGAAAGCTGTTTTGTTCATATAACTTTGAAATAATTAAAATAAATATGAAAGAATGTTAGCAACTTGACACGAAAGTAGGCATAAACTAAAAATTTAGACCTGACATTTATGTGTACTGCCAGTAGTAACAGTGTTGCATGTACAGTGCAAGAATTACTCCAGACATGGAAGCAGCTGGGAAACGTTTGTCTTTGTCACACATTGCTCAAAAAGAAAAAATATAGTTAATAACATTTAATATCTTTATAGTATTGGAATATACCCTACACTGATCAGCCACATTTAAGCCAGTGAAGTGAATGCTATTAGTAGTAGTAGTA